AATTGGAAAATTAGCATATTAATGCATTTTTGTCTTTTAATGGATCCCAATCTACATTTAAAGGCATTTCTAAAAAGTAATGTTAAATCCTAATTAAACGTCAATTTCCATTTATTTTAGTAATGATGAATTTTTATTGTACTAATGGGAAACCCCATAGAACTACTCATAATACAATTAATTAATTAATAAAAAAAATGGTGCTTTGATTTGATTTTGTACAAAGGTATTAAGGTAGCATTCTTTAGTTACAAAACATTTTTACTTTCTCCTTTATAAAAGGAAAAAACAAAACAAAGACATCTTAACTTTCTCATGAGAATGTATTATTGGTCTTAGATGAGAATGCATGCTGCACGATACACTAGAAAGTGAGAGAGGAGCCAAAAGGGAAAGAGTGTTCAAATTTTAAAACAGGACCACGAAACAGGGGATTGAGATTATTCACCAAATCTATATTGTTACATTATGTAAAATGTAGAGAATTAAAAAGTGAATATTATACATATATGTACCTTTGGGTTGCTGGACATTGACAAAGAGAGAATCGTTGGAAGAGGAGACCCAAGACGTGCAGAAAGTGCAATGGCAATCAGACCATCTTGGTGTTCTTTGCAACTTCTCGACCACCGTGGAGTTCACAGTGAGTAATGTCTTTTTAGTCGATGGTGATCTCTTCTTGGACTCATCACAGCATTCCACAGCATTCTTCTTGAAGCACTTCACCAGCTTAGTGAGCTTGATGAGGAGTGAAGGGCGTGAGTAGAGCGTGTCGGAGATCTCATCCAAATGAATCTTTGTCCTTGTCAGCGAGACCACCTTCGAGTACTCTCCTGATCTTTCCGACACTATCATCTTCCCGCTTCTGCTCCCTCCGGCCGCCGCTGGTTTGGCCTCGGGAGGCGGACAGCAGTAGCAAGGCTTCCACTCGGACTCGAAGAAGAAGTCAAGCGTCTTGTAGGTGAAGCAAAGCAAGAAATCCACAATGTCGAGGGTAGCGAAGACGACAAAGCCCACGGTGCGGTTGAGCCACCGTGAGAAGCCCATGCTGTGGAGTTTGAGTCTTGTGGAGGGCATGTCTCTATGTATGTATGGTAGTAATGTTGCAAAGCCAAAGTACGTGAGTGAGTGAGAGAGAGAAAGTATTATAATACTGTAGTTAATGAAGAGAGAGAGGAGAACAGATGGCAGATATATGAATTTATTGATCGCATTTAACATACATGGTTGGCCAAAATGATGAAATTGGGTGGCCGTTGAATCTTCTTCTTGCTTTCGTAATTTCTCAAGCCCTCGACGACCACACATATCCAGCACATACTAACACATCACTTAACTTCTTTTTAATTTCAAAACATCAATACTTGGGAACATGCATGTGATTGGTGCAGTGATGATCCAAAATCTCACTATACCTACTTACGCCACAATGTCAATCAAATGAGTTTATGTTTACATGTTGTAATTACATTTTTTCCTTTACTTTTAACGTTTTATATCTAGAACAAAAAAAAACTGTAATTCAAATTTTCGTTTACATTTCCAACTCGTACAAATATTTGATGGAAAAGGTAAAAATGTTTTAATGTGAAAATAACATGTTTAGTAAGACGCAAAATTATGTTTGAGACAATCAAAACCGTTATAGTCATATATGCTTTGTTTGGTAAGGCATTAATGAGGGGGCTTAGGGCGGGTTGATGGCTTTTAAAGTCTAAAGAGCGCAAATGAATCTATATGAATACGAGATTATAGCGAAATGAAACTAATAAATCAAGTTATTGAAGTAATGGCAGAGAGATGTAAATCATAAATGTTGATAGTGAAATAAGAAGTAGAGTTGAAATTTTTTTTTTTTAGCAAAAAAAAAAAAGAATGAGAAGTATAGTGATATGATGGCATGTGGACATTCAACTCAAAGCCTCACTCTCAATTCCCACTAAACAGCCTAGACGACTTGATTTTAGACAATATCTATAAAATGTGTACACATTTTGGAAAAAAACAAGTAAAAGAGTTAGAGTGTCAGTATACATATATAGTAATAATAACATTGCATAGTGAGAAGGACGTGTGTTTGGTCTCAAGCCACAGCTAATGGCTTTTTTGCCCGTGAGGTATACCATTCTCTCTATTCTTTTGGGGGAAAATATTAATGAATTAGAAATATTCGATTGCGCTTGCATGAGAAAAGAGTGATAAAGTATATCGTAGAATGGACATGGTAAGGAACGTGAATCCATGTGCTGTCTAGAAGGGTTTAAAAGTCTTGTGCGTCACAATAAAAAGCAGCCTTCTCAGGGCCTATGTTCATACAATAATAATTTACCAAACGTGCTGCTCGCTCTAACTAGAACGTAATATGGTACATATACGTCAGGGTAATGATGGAGATATTTAGATCTATATATCTTCTCTCAAGCCTACATTTTTTATTACATTTTCTTCCCTATTTATAATTGTATAGTACAAACTACATAGTCTCCTACCTCTTTAGTTATCCCATATCTTCCGGGTTTTCAATCGTTTACAAAAATCTATAATATTATAAGTCAACGTAAAAATCAACCCCTTTTACATGTCACCATTCACCGGAAGATTCACTAGTCAAAGTGATTTCTGATATTGTATATTAAGGGCTTGGACCCCAAAAAAGAACATAAGTTTAAGGGTAAGTGAAATTGAAATTAGGTGGAGCAATTTAGTATGAAGCTCGATCTCAACCATATGGAGTTGTTTTGGTAGAGCAGAAAAAGAAGTTGAATGTAAGAATAACAGTTAGTTACAGCTATAAGTTACATACAAGACACAAGAGTAAAGCTGTGGTCAACGACGACTGTCATAATTTATATGTGCACCACTCGATTCCAACATGTAGCGTTAGAATTGGTTTCGACTGACAAATTGAGTAAACTAATGGAAAAAGTATGTGATGGAAAAAAGTCAAAAGACTAAGCCATAAATGCAATGTTGGTGGGGAGTTCTCTTTTTATTTATTGTTTTACATCTTTTGAAACTTTAAAATTCTCCTCTCTTACTATTATTTATCCCTACTTGCTAATAATTTAACCCATCTACTTTACCATAATCGATATAATGGCACACGATATTTGATTGGCCATCCACATGTATGGTCTAAATTAAATGGTAACACAATTATAATGGAATCGGTGGAGTTTGGGCGGAACAAATGAATGAATGATATTACATTGATTGGTATATAATTCGTACGAGCTGGGCACAGTACTTTA